TCGAAGAGTGAAGAGAACATCGCCCAGCTCACCGAGCGTATGAACACTCTAGAGGAGCAGGTAAACTCAGGACTTAATACCGCACAAGAAACGGCGCTGTTTGCTCGACTTGAGGCGAAGATCTTAGGTTCACAGTCCCAGTCAGATGTCGCTAGCACGCGCTCTGGCTCATCATCTGTCGCTTCTCACCCACGTTGGCGTGGCAGGTCAGCTGGGCCGTCACCCTCTGCGAGTTTCACAGGGACTGTAAGCGTGGAGCGTGGGGTGGACCCCACAAGAATATGGATTGGTGGGTTCAAGGCTCCGATGCTGGCTCGTGTGATGACGAAATACATGCAGGACACGGTTATCCCTCATCTGCCATCGCACATCAAGCCTCCCTCCCAGATCATTGCGCACAATCTCAACAAAGCCTTCTGTGTGAAGTTTGAGAGTGACACCGACCCGAAGGCGTTTCTTAAACATGTCAAAACGCATGGCTTGCAGTTCGTCTCTCCCCAGGGACCTATTTCTCTCCGTGCTCGTCGGGATGCTACTCCAGATGTTCGGCGTCGCAATATTGTTCTTGGGCGTGTCTGGCAAAGGGGTCTCGCAGCATTTTGCCGCCAAGGGGATCGGACAGGACATTTCGCTAGCCGTCAACGGGCACAAGGGCATCCTGTTCTTCACCACGAACGAGGAAGTCACAGTCTTGTGCTCGCTCATCGAGAACCCCGACACCTCGGCCAGCCTCAACCCCGACTTCGACGCGTTTTCAGTCCTTGAATATGGAGAAGGACCAGGTCACTGCTATCATGAGAGGCGCCATTGAATAGGAAGTGTCCTTGCCTAGTGCGACCGTCCAATGGGATCGACCGAGTGGGTGCCGTACCGTGTACGCAACGAGGGCAGCGGCGTCGGTCTGCATCTATTTCGAGTTCTTCCTCCGTTTCGTCTTCCGCTTCCTCTTCCTCTTCGGGCTCTACGTGCTCGTCTTCGACTTCTTCGGGGGGCTTGCCTCCGTGCTGTTGTAGCGCGCCGTTTTATCCTTGTTCCGACTTCTCCATTGTCACCTGGAATGCCAGATCGTTGTTCGGGGGCCTATCCACCAGTCACACCAAACTCAAGCAGAAAATCCAACAGTTGCTTCGGCTTTGTCAAGCCCACGATGTCGTCTGTATCCAGGAGGCTCGCGGGACCTATCACGACAAAGACTTACTTCTGAAAGAGTTCCAAGGTGTCAGCGGAAAAGGTACCTCTTTTGCGATCGTTCTGCTGGTGGCAGTCTCATTCTTTTGCACCCTCGGCTCCGTGGGCAGTTTCTCGCTCTTCGCCATCGTACTCGCGTGCCTGGACGGGTGCATCTGGTTTCACTTCGCGGCATACATGGTACTCTACAGATATGTAACATACACATTGATCCTGGGGCGACGGTTTTGCAGCAAAAAAAGGAGAACTTCGGCTGATTCGCAGGTCCATGTTGGGGGCTGACGTGAGCACGGGGTTTCTTTTGTGGCGATTTCAATTTTCCTGCAGACGGGGAAGGTTCGTTTTCTTCAGATGGGCATGTTCGTTATAGTAACAACAGCCGTGGGGCATACTTCTCCGATCTCTTTCCCGACCTGTGTGGGGTAGACCAGCACCGCTTCACCCATCGTGTGATGGATGCGAATGGTCCCAGGCCTGTTATTTCATCTCTGGCGCGGCTTGATCGGATATACTGCAACATCCCCAGCAGCGTGCTGCTCGACTATAAGCCGCTCAGCCTTGTACTATGGGCTACACAGGGGGAGTGGCCACTCTCCGATCACGCGCCCGTGCTCCTTCGGCTTAACGTTTCGCCGCCCTGTGGGTTTCGTGTTCCGTCCTGGGTTCCTCGGCGTCCCAAGTATCGTGAGTTTTTGGATGAAGTTGCTGATTCTGCTGGCCCTCGGGATCCTGATCCTCTCCTGGCTCTCGGTGAGACGAGCGATTATCAAGGCGGCTGCGAAACGTGTTATGGACTCCTCGCGCTCTGGTGGGCCTCTATCTGTTGAAGAGAAGGTGCATTGGGCTCTGGCGGCTCTACGTAGCCTTCGGCGCGGGCAACTTCTTTTTCTTCGGAAAGCTTTGGGGGCTTTTACGGACCTGCAGCAGTTTATTTGTTGTGAATCTGGCCTTTGGACTGACTTTCATGGATTGCACGGATTTTTGGGCGACCTCGAGACTGAGCAGATCCAGGGGGAGATTCAAGATAATGAGGAGCCGGACAGGCCTATGGTTCAGAAGCATGCGGTTCGAAACAGATTCACGTCGTATCTCGGCGCCTGGGGCCGCAGGAGGAGGGGGATCTCGCTTTCAGCTATTTCCGACCCGGCGGGCCAACGGGTTTCTGAACCTAGTGCTGCGGCTAAGTTGCTGGCGGCGCACTGGGGGGGGGGGGGGGCGCGTGCCTTCGTCGAGGGTGAAGATGCCAGACGGCAAGAACTCGTGCCCTTCATCGCGCAGGTGCCCCCTCTCATGTTTTGGGAACTTGAGTTCGATGAATTTTGTCAGCGTGCTCAATATGCTCGAGGCTCGTGTCCTGGGCCCGACGGGATTCCTTATAGTGCCTGGTTTCGCGGCGGTACCTGCGCGATGGAACCTCTCTTTGAAGTGTGCCGGGAACTTCTCGCACGTGGGCGACTCTCTGATGAATTCAATCGTGGCATCGCTGTTTTCTTGCCCAAGGGCGATGCCCCCAGCGATGCTGTGGATTCTGTCTTCCGTCCACCTGGGCAGGCCAGGCCTATCGCGCTTGGCAATTCGGACAACAAGTTTATCAGCCGTGCTATTAATAAACCTGTTGTTCGTGTTCTCCAGGAGTGTTGTGTTGACTTTCAGCGTGGTTTTATTCCTTGGCGCAATTTCACCAACAACATGGTTGCTCTGGAATCTCGGGCTGTGTAATGGTTTGTTCAGGACGGACTCCAGGCGACGGGTTGCGTAACGTTTGATATCAAGGCTGCCTTTCCTACTCTCCTCCGCTCCATGATTATGTTCGTTCTCAAAACCATGAAGTCCCCGAAGAAAGTCCGCAGGGCGGTTGCCGCTCTGTATCAGCAAGTGTGGGTTTCTGTCTCCTTTTGCGGGGTGCAAGAATCTGGATGGTGGGTCAGGCGTGGGATCAAACACTGGGTGCCCGCTCTCCTCCTCGCTCTTCGTGCTGTGCATCGATCCGATCTTAAAGATGCTTGAGCGGCGTCTTCAGCGCGTGCCGTCGGTGCTGGGTGCGTGCGCTGACGATGTTGGGCTTGTCTCGCAGGGCGCGTGTCGAGCTCTGGCCTTGGCGCTTCCTGTATTTGCTTGTGCTGCCCGGGCTGCTGGACTTGAGCTCAACGTCGCGAAATCTATCATTGGTCCTCTTGCCGCCCTCCCTGAACATGAATATCACAGCCTCCTTGCCGTTGCCGGCTTACCTCCCTCCTTCAAGGCGCAGCATATTGCAAAGTATTTGGGTATTTCTTGGGCGTGGTGGGTCTGTGCGATCTTGGGACGCTCCTGCCAGGACATGTCTTGGGCAAGCTCTTGACACTAAATCTCCTGGGTTGGGTCTGGTGAAGAGTATCGCACTATTCAATCAGAATGGTTTCAGCTGTTTGTCGTATGTGTCACAATTCTTCTCACCTCCCAAGTCTGTGTACGAGACTGTCCGCGCAGCTGGGCAAGCGTTGGCGTGCGGCCCGCGGAATGCTCTTAGTCCTGCCATGCTCGAGAATTTAACGGCGCTGGGGTTGCCGTGCCAATTGCGGAGGCGTGGAGCTGGTGTCGAGGGCCACTCTTTACCGTTTCGCTTGCAATTCGATTGAATTCTACCGTGCGAAGACGCGGATCCAGGCGATGGCTGCCAGCGACGAGTGCAACATATTGTGGAACAGGGACCCCTTGTGGTTGCAGTCGTCCATGCACGCCCTTATCGCTAACTTTGATCAGTTGTGCGCGGTGCCGAACGTCCCCGCCCCTGGTACTCCTCGGATCCAAGCGGCGACGACGAACTGGCTATGCCGTCTTGCCCCCGAAGGATTTCGAGTCCCGCTCCTGTATCGGATGAAGAAGCTGGGGGTTTCCGCGAGGTGTTGTGATCTTGACCTAGCTCTGATGGCGTTCAGTAGATTAGAAAATCTCGTTCCCTCGTGCGTTATCGTTTCTGTTTTGAAAACGTTCTCGAACGGCTGATGCTGTTCGGCCAGGTTCCGTGGGCCCACCTGTGGCTGCGTTTTCTGTTCGGCGCCTGGGGCCGACAAGTTTCTTCGCTATCTCGAGTGCCCTGTTGTTCTGTCTAGTGCCAGTTCTGTCCTGCATCTTCCTGCTTTCTTTGCCACGCTTTCGGGGCCTCAGCGTGCTTCCATCTTCCCTTGGGCCGCCTCCTCTCAGCTTGAGCTTACTGCCTGTGCGATTTTCCTTGATCTCATCTCTCAAGCTTATCATGATTTGCGCTACGCACCCTGCCTGTCGCCTCCGAGGGGGGCTCTGCGGCTTCAAGGCAGGATGCGTGCCCGACTGAAGCAGCTCAAGAGGCGGGACCATCGCCTTAGCTTGCTTCTGGGGTAGCTTTCGTGTGGAGGCAGGGCTGCGTTCGCTCGAGCCGCCGCGGCCCGCCTGCGGCAACCGCCAGGCGCGCCCCCGCCCTTGCTGCTCTCTCGAGAGGACGTGGGGAGCATGCCAGGTATTGAATTAGGGTCTGGTCGGCCTTATTCTTTGCCTTCCTTGGCCTCGTGCGCTCCTCCTCCTCCTCCTCCTCCTCCTCCTTCTCACTCCCCTTCTGCCTCCTCCTCCCCTCCTCCCCATCCTCTTTCTTGCCCCTGCTCCTGCTGCCTCCCTCCTCCTCCTTCTCCTGCTGTCCATCGTGCTCCCGTCCCCCCCCCCCCCCTCCTTCGTCTCCTCCTCCTCCTGCTGCTTCCTCCTTCCTCCCTGCTCCCTCCACCTCGTCCTCCTGCCTCCTTCCTCCCTCCCTTTGCGCGTCCCCCTCGGCCTCTTCCCCCCCCTCGGGGCCGCGGCGGGAGGCGGGCTGGCGGCGGTGCTCTACACCGAGGTGCTGCAGGTCCTGGTGCTCCTCTTCGGCACCTGCGCGCTGCTGGCGTACGGATCGCCTGGGCGGGCGAGCGCGCGCACAGACGACGACGACGACGACGTCGGCGGCGGCGCGTCGGCCACGAGGACAGCGTCGCCGAAGTCGGCGGCGACGGCAGCGGCTTCGACGCCGGCGACGACGACGAAGACGGCGGCGGCGGCGGCGGCGCGGCGGAGGCGACGACGACGACCACGACGACGACGACTTCGCCGAAGACGACGGCGACGGCAGCGGGTCGACGCCGACGACGACGACGGCGGCGACGATGTTGGCGGCGGCGACGACGGCAACGACGACGACGGTGGCGGCGGCGGCGGCGCTGACGACGACGCCGAAGTCGACGGTGGTGTTGGCGGCGGCGGCAGCGGCGACGACGGCAGAGTCGACGACGACGAAGACGACGTTGGCGGCAGCGGCGTCGATGACGGCGACGACGACTTAATTAGACGGTGACGACGACATAATTAGACGGTGACGACGACGAGGTCGACGGCGAAGACGACGAGGTCGATGGCGAAGTCGACGGTGGTGTCGGCAGCGGCCGCGGTGGCAGCGGCGGCGACGACGACGACGACGACGTTGGTGGCGGCGGCGTCGACGACGACGTCGACGACAACGACGGCCACCACGACGAGGTCGACGGCGACGACGACGAGGTCGACGGCGACGACGACGACGACGACGGCGACGGCGGCAGGGCCGCGACGACGACGACGCCGAAGTTGACGGCCACAACGTTGGCGGCGGCGGCGGTGGAGGCGGAGGCGGGGACGACGGCGACGATGACGACGATTGCGGCGGCTGCGTTGGCGGCGGCCGCGGCGACGACGACGACAATGACGACAAGATCGACTGCGACGAACGGCGACGACGTCGATGACGACGACGTCGTGATGACGACGATGTCGTCGAGGCCGAGTGCGACGTCGACGGGGAACAGCGTCGGCGTCGACGACGGGCTTCCCCCCGAAGGAGGGGCAATGGGGGAGCTCGGGAAGGGTGGGACGAGGAGGGCGGGGGGAGGAAGCGGAGGAGGAGGAGAAGGAGGAGGAGGAAAAGGAGGTGGAGGAGACAGGCGGATGAGGGAGGAGGAGGAGGAGGAGGAGGAGGAGGAGGAGGAGGAGGAGGAGGAGGAAGAGGAGGAGGAAGAGGTGGATGAGGAAGGGAAGCGGCGGATTACCCAAGGATTACCTCAAGCTGACTCTGTCAGACCATGCTACTTCGGGGGCTCACTTGAGAGGCTTCCCTTCAGGCAGACGCTGGAGGACCCAAGCCCCCATCTTGGTGGGCGGCTCGCCTCTCACGCACTTAACACTCTTTCGGCAGGTCCCTGAGGTGGCCACTGCCATCTCTCGCCCTGCAGCCGCCAAAGGTGCACACCCAATACGGATCATAGAAAGCCATGGTGTGCGAGTGATGGGCAGCACGCGATCCGACGGCCACGAGCACTCTAGCGGGCTGGGGGAGGAGTGGGCCAGGACCCTGGGAACAAGGCCAATTCTCGAGCAGACGACGTCACGAAGACCTGGACACGCCACTGCGACAATCAAGACTACTAGCACCGGTTTTAGCATCAGCAACAGAATGCGAGGAGCCCGCCTGCGCGCGCGCGAGGGCGGAGGGCCTGGTCCTTCTGGCAATTCTCTGGGCCTCGCGCGCCGTCGGCGGGCGGGCCTCCTGCTCGAAAGCGCACAGGGTGGCTCTCGCAGTGCGGAGCCGCACACGACACGGCGTCGCCACCGCCCCTTGTCGCGAGAGAGGCGGGAGAGCGGGGGCGACGGCGGCAGTGTCAGCAAGATCGTCGGCAATCTGATTGCCAACCCAGGCCATCAGGGGAACTCCTCTGGCCATGGACTCCTCGGGGGACGGATGGCGGTTCAGGAAATGCCCTGTCACGCAGGCCCCACCACGCTCACTCAACTCAGCTCCGAGCGTCTCCCAGAGATCTCCATTCACACTCCAACCTGCAGGACTCAAATGACGGAGGAGGAGGAGGAGGAGGAGGAGGAGGAGGAGGAGGAGGAGGAGGAGGAGGAGAAGGAGGAGTTGGAGGAGGAGCAGTGTGAATCCAATGTGCATCGACGGCGTTGCACTACACCCGCCCTCCACGTTCCATCTTCATAGGTCCCTGCATGGGTTGTTTCACTTATGGAAATGCCCCGTTGGAAAACAGCCTTCTGAGTATCCTCATCCGTGCTAAACTACCACCCCTTGGACTGCAGCGCTGCGAATCAACTCTACTGTTGCGTCCTGGCGGTCGTCATGCCAGAACAGCACGCCTGGGACTTCAACACAGCGAATCAACGTCATTGTTGTGCCGCGGCAATCCTTAACTCGTGCCGGAACGCATGCTGGGACGTCAACCGTGCGAATATTCGCAACAGCTGTGGGCTTTTGATGCGAATGTTCGCGGCGCTACTGCGATAACCACATGTTGAAAACGACCCGCCCTCCATCTGTGAAGCTGTTGCAGACATGTCAGGCGAATGTGCGCTGCGCCAGGGCGAGAGCCTTGGAAAACACATTCTACGACGCTCGTGCACTGCGCGAGAGCCACGGTTTGAAAACGGCCCGCCCTCCATCCGTGATGCCCTCCATCCGTGATGGGGATGCAAGCTTTTAAGACGAATGTGGGTGGCGCCAATTCAGAGGAATGTGGGTGGCGCCAAGGCAGGAGCCACATATTGAACGCGACCCGCCCTTCGTCGGCAAGGCTGTTGCGCAACTTTTCAAGCGAATGTTGGCAGCGCCAAGGCGAAAACCACGTTTTGAGGACGACCCGCCCTCCACCCGTGAAGCACTTTGCAAACTTTTAACACGACTGTGCGCGGGGTTGAGGCGAGAGCCACACGTGGACAACGACCCGGCGTGCCTCCGTGAAAGGGCTGCAACTTTCCAAAGTGAATGCGAGCGGCGCTAGGGCGAACGCCACATTTCGAATGGGAGCGGCCCTACATCTGTGAAGCCGTTGTAGTTGTCAGACGATTTTTGCGCGGCGCTCCAGCGAGCACCACATGTTGAAAAGGCACGGCCCTCCATGCGTGAAGCTGCTGCACAACTGTTGCACGAGTGTGCCCCGCGCTGAGGCGAGAACCACATTTTGAAAACGAGCCGCCCTCCGTCGGTGAAAATGTTGTGCGGTTTCAAAGAGTTTGCGCGGCGCTAAGGCGAGAGCCACATGTTGAAATCAACCCGCCCTCCATCCGCGAAACTTTTTACAACTTTCAAACTTCACGTGAGCGGCGCTAAGGCGAACACCACATTTTGAGAACCACCCGCCCTTCACCGTCAAGTTGTTGCAGAACTTTCGCGGCGAATGCGCAAGGCGCAAAGGCGAGAGCCACATATTGAAAACGACCCACCCTCCTTCGGTGCACAATCATAAATGGTCAGGAAGTCTCCAGCGAAACGCCTGGCGTGCCCTACCCACACGTCCCAGGGTGCGACAGGGAGGCTATATGTGTAAGGAACAGGAATGCAGGAGGAGGAGGACGCGGAGGAGGAGGAGGAGGAGGAGGAGGAGGAGGAGGAGGAGGAGGAGGAGGAGACGCTCCTCCTCCCCTCCCTGCGTGGCCCGTCGAGCGCTGGCGCAGCACCCGCGCGCCGCCCTGGGGGGCCAGGCGGCCGCCCTGGGCCGCGCGCTTGGGGATGTGCCGCCCCCTCCGCCCATCCCTCCTCCATCCCTCCGCCCTCGTCGTCCCTGCCCCTTCCTCCCTCAAACCTCCCCCCCTTTTCTAGCAGGCCTTGCTCCTGCCCTCGTCCTCCTTTTTTCCTCTCGGGAGGGGGAGTCGCAGCGACTCCCGGCTCGGGCCCCGCCCGAGCCCATTGCAAGATCGGGCACGGATCAGAACCCAAGCCGACGTTGCGCGCGCAAGCCTCCTCGTCCTCCTTCTGCCGCCCCCCGCAGCGCAGCGGTCTGCAAGCGATCCCAGGTCCGCGGCGCGTGCCGCTCGGCGCCCCAGGGGGGGGGGGGGGCGCCGCGCGCGACACGCGGGCCCCAGCAGAGAGGTTCCGTTGCGAGGGGGTGGAGGAGTGGAGGGCCGTATTGCCATACCTTAGCAAAGGCAAAAGGAAGGGAGGGACGGGTTGGGGCTGAGGGGCCGGGCCGCTCAGGGGACGATGCGCTCACGGGTGACGTTGACCTTGCTTGTGGCGTTGTGCAGGGCGTACCTTGTCTGTAGCGCAGTTGGCGGAGTATGATGGTAGTAGCCGGTAGTACTCGGCACACCTCTTCTGTAGGGCAGCAAGCGAAGTAGCGAAGTATCCTTGAGGCCATCAAGCACACATCTTAAGTAGTTGTGCCCTGGGTGGTCTTGTAGCCCAGGGCCCATACGCTGCGTATCGCCGTGACTGGAGTCCGTTGGTCCACGCTTGCTGTGTGGTGCCGCTTGGGTCCGGTAACCCGTTCTTGTTGTAATCTTCGCCCGTAGTAGCTTCTCTGGACGGGTTGCGCAACTCGATGTAGTACTTCGTGCCGCCAGTAAGTGTCGGCTGGCACTGTAGGTCCTGATCGTCGGGTGACTCGCCAAGCTCGTTGTCCATGTAGTACACCTTCAGGTGCGTGAAGTCCTCGACGGAGCAGTTGGTATACTCGCCAGGAGTGCACATCTTCTCGGAAAAAAAGCTCTTTTTGAGCGAGGCGGTGGTAGACGTTGTAGTCCAGATGTCGGCCCTGGCGTAGGCACCTTGTTCCATATCGTACCCACCTTGGTCTCGGTGTGGAATGGCAATCCAGGTGCCGTTCATGGTGGCCATCGTGGACGATGTGATCTGTAGAAGTCGTTGGTTCGAGCCGATGTAGCTGCCAGGATGATGGAATGATGCTGAGTAGCTGGTGCACCCCCTTGTATACTGACCCGAAATCCTTGATCATTTCTGTGGGCTGGCTGGTCTGCTGCTTGGTACGGCGGAAAGGTAGCACAGGGTGCGTACAGCCGTGTCAGTATCCAATAATGCTGAAGGTACTGTCCGTGCTTGTCGCACTTGTTTGTAATACAAAACCAGTGCGTAATCAGGTAGTCCTGCAGTTTTCCTGTAGTAGCCGTAGTACCTTGTAGTCTTCGTAGCCGGGATGCGTGTAGCCGTGTAGGTACCCAGCAGTGCTGAGGATATTGCCCTTGCACGGTGCGCACAAGGCTGACGTACGTGGCGAGGGGGGTGAGGCAGGCGAGCTGGTCGGCGGCCTGGCCTGTTTTACTTGGCGCGCGAGCGCACGCAGCCGATTAGCCGACGGCATTGTATCAGGAGGGGGAAAAACACACAGACACAATTAATCGTCCATTCCCAGGAAAATATGGGAAACTGTGGGAAGTGGGGGGGAAAACGAAAACCTAGAAACTATAGGAAACTATGGGGAATCCGGTTAGTTGTGTGTATGTATTTGTGTGTCCCTGGGCCTTTGTGCTGTCGTATGTTCGTTCAACTGGGGAGTGGGTGTGCGACGCAGGCCCGGGAGCGCACCCGCGCAGAACTGCCCACCGCCGCGCTGTGGTGTGTGCCACGTCAGTGGTTCAGGTTGTCGCCGCTGCCCGTGGCATCGCGCTTGCGCTTCTTCACGGGGCTCTTGCGATTCAAGGAACCGAAGTTTATACACCGATGTTTTTTTTTTTTTTGTTCCGGTCCCGCACTGAGACTTTGCAAAAGGAAGCGGATTCTGGTGTATGCGGCATCCCGGCGTATACATTTGTTGTTGCTTCCACGGGAAAGCGGGGAAACAAGTATGCACCACACCACCCCGACGTCGTCCCCGACCCTCCAAAAAGTCCTGGATTGAAAAACCGCCCGCCACTGGTAATCTATATGTTCCAGTTCCCGAAAATAGACGACGCCGGCCCTGAAGCAGTTCTTGCCCTCGACACTGTTCTCGGCGCTGCCGTTGGCCGGGTCTCTCTCTCTCTCTCTCTCTCGAACGCCTTTATCTTTGTACTTGATGAGCTCGTGCGGCGGTATGGTGCTGTCCCTCTTGCAGGCTCCAGCTGGTACGTATTGTCCATCAGCGATGCGCGACCTGAGGACGTACTGACTGCTGGATGTCGGCGTTCTCGTAGCGGTTGCAGTGGCGCCTGTCCGTCGTGTACAGCCTGGGACCCTCAAGCGCGTAGTCGTAGATGGCCAGCTGGTCGAGGTACTTCGCCAGCTTCCCCCTCCTCCTCCTCCTCCTTTCTCGCTCCTCGCCGCCTTCACCAGTGCTTTCTCCGCGGGGCCTGCCTCCATGTGGTGCCCGCGTTTTGCGATACGACACGGTGGGATGGTAGCTCATTGCTCACTTTCTCAGGTTGGGAGCGTGGTGGCTGGCCTCCAGCCGCGGTCCGACTGCACGCATTCCCTTCTTGATCTCGGGCGAGAAGCTGCTGGTGTTATCACCGCGGCGTCTGCCATCGCCGCCTCATCGGGGCGAGCTTCACGTGCAAAGGCCCTGCTCGGATTCGTGGTGCAGGTGCTCGTCTTCCCCCCCTCGCCTCACCCGCGATGTCGGCAGCGTGGATCCTGCCGCCGCACTGCTGCGTCATCCCGGAGCTGCCGATGCTGTGCTCGGACGGCCGCACGAGTTCCTTTCCGAACCCTGGGCAACGAGCCTGCACGAGTGACGTGCCGTTCGAGTGCCGCAGCGCTGGCGCCGCGAGCCTCGCTCTGCACGGGCCGCACGGCGAGATCTCAGCCTGCGAGGCCTTCGTCTTCGACAGCGACGGGCTCGGCGAGTTCGAGTTCACGCGCCTCGACGGCACGCCGCTGACCCGGGCCACGGAGGAGCTCGTCGAGATCGAGACGCCAAGCCTCGACGCCATCCATCCCGCCGCGATGTCTCGCCGCGTCGTAGCTGCAGGCGGCGGCCCTTCCAGTGCACGCATCGGAAGGCGGCGCTCGCCCCAGCATCCCTGACAGCGGCAGGCACGGACATGCTGGTGGTGCCCAGTCCGCTGTGCAGACGGGCTCCTGCCGAGGCCAGCTTGCCACAGACCAGCTCAACCGCCGACGACGGTACAGCGGGGGCGCGCATCAAGAAACCATCTGCTTGTCGTCAGGGTATCATGGGTTTCTTCGCTCCTCGCGCTGCGCGGTGACTTCCCGCAGCCGTTGAAGGAGCTGCTGCGTTCAGGGTGCTCCGGGCTTCCCCTCGGGTGTACCTCGCGCGCGGCTTCTCAGGGTTGGGTTTCTTGCGAGGGTTTCTTTCTGCCGCGCCCTCACCATAGCATCTTCACCGAGGAGTCTATGAGCGACTGCGGCTAGAGCAACACCGCTATATCCATTACGGCAAGTTCGGGATCCATACTTGGCGCCAGAAGGAGACATGTGCGCCATGCTGATCTTCGCCAGCTGGTCGAGGTACTTCGCCAGCTTCCCCCTCCTCCTCCTCCTCCTTTCTCGCTCCTCGCCGCCTTCACCAGTGCTTTCTCCGCGGGGCCTGCCTCCATGTGGTGCCCGCGTTTTGCGATACGACACGGTGGGATGGTAGCTCATTGCTCACTTTCTCAGGTTGGGAGCGTGGTGGCTGGCCTCCAGCCGCGGTCCGACTGCACGCATTCCCTTCTTGATCTCGGGCGAGAAGCTGCTGGTGTTATCACCGCGGCGTCTGCCATCGCCGCCTCATCGGGGCGAGCTTCACGTGCAAAGGCCCTGCTCGGCTTCGTGGTGCAGGTGCTCGTCTTCCCCCCCTCGCCTCACCCGCGATGTCGGCAGCGTGGATCCTGCCGCCGCACTGCTGCGTCATCCCGGAGCTGCCGATGCTGTGCTCGGACGGCCGCACGAGTTCCTTTCCGAACCCTGGGCAACGAGCCTGCACGAGTGACGTGCCGTTCGAGTGCCGCAGCGCTGGCGCCGCGAGCCTCGCTCTGCACGGGCCGCACGGCGAGATCTCAGCCTGCGAGGCCTTCGTCTTCGACAGCGACGGGCTCGGCGAGTTCGAGTTCACGCGCCTCGACGGCACGCCGCTGACCCGGGCCACGGAGGAGCTCGTCGAGATCGAGACGCCAAGCCTCGACGCCATCCATCCCGCCGCGATGTCTCGCCGCGTCGTAGCTGCAGGCGGCGGCCCTTCCAGTGCACGCATCGGAAGGCGGCGCTCGCCCCAGCATCCCTGACAGCGGCAGGCACGGACATGCTGGTGGTGCCCAGTCCGCTGTGCAGACGGGCTCCTGCCGAGGCCAGCTTGCCACAGACCAGCTCCACCGCCGACGACGGTACAGCGGGGGCGCGCATCAAGAAACCATCTGCTTGTCTCAGGGTATCATGGGTTTCTTCGCTCCTCGCGCTGCGCGGTGACTTCCCGCAGCCGTTGAAGGAGCTGCTGCGTTCAGGGTGCTCCGGGCTTCCCCTCGGGTGTACCTCGCGCGCGGCTTCTCAGGGTTGGGTTTCTTGCGAGGGTTTCTTTCTGCCGCGCCCTCACCATAGCATCTTCACCGAGGAGTCTATG